GCCCTATGCAACATAAGTATTACTCGGGAGTCTTATAATTCACTACGTTCCCTAGTTGATAATGTAACAAAAAAATTAAGAGCGTTATCTAGTTTGGGCGAACCCGTTGAACATTGGGACACACTTGTAATTCACCTAATTTCCTCTAAGCTTGATAAACTCACTACTGTAACGTGGGAGGAATATCGCAACGAACTTCAAGATGTTTATCCCTCTTTAAAACAATTTCATATTTTTTTTACTGATCGGGCTAATATTTTAGATAAAATATTTCCAAGCAAGTTTGATAAGACTAAATTGGTGCCAACGCATTTTACCAATCGTAACCTTCACACGTTATAAAAACTTTGGCCTCCACTTCGCAAGTATGTAAGGTTTCCTGTGTGGTCTACAAGTAAGATCACAGGATTTATAATTGTCCCATATTCCTAGGAAAAAGTATTCCTGAGCGTAAGGCCGAGAATTCAAACGTAAACATAACGCACTTCTACACTTAGCTAACGTAAAGAGTAGCGATGCGACCTCGAGCGCTAACATCTCGGTCAATACCTCGATTACCCATGAAGCCGAGAGGACTCAAGTCCTCCTATGTACTGCTATTGTAAGGTTAATAAATCCTTGCACAAATAAATCTATGGAGGTTAGGGCCCTTCTAGACTGCGGAAGTCAGGCCTCATTTGTTAGTCAGTCACTCATAGAGAAACTCTCACTCAAACCTGATGAAAAGTATCAATATTATGGGTATTGGAAATCATTTAGCAGAGAAGATAAATCAAAGTTGCATTGTTGAACTACAGTCATTAAATAGCAAATATACATTAATTAATATACGTTCTATGTACTAAAGCAACGATATAAGACTCGCTGACCCTAAGTTTTACGAGCCTTCCAATATAAACATCTTAATAGGTGCTGACTTATTTTGGGACCTATTGAGTTGTGATCAGCGTTGATTAGGGTTAAATATCGCAGTCCCCGACGAACACTATGGTAATCGCTTTTACGATAGAATCGGGTTTATTAAATATTCGTTATCTACACACCCTATTACAATCATTGAAATTTTTTTATGATCGGGCGATGAATACTTTTGGATTTATCGCTTCAATAATGATCTTTATGTTTTTGTTCAACGTATAACATAAGTGAAAAATTTACACGATCAATAACGCAAAAACCTATTACCAAATCTCAACATTTTAGAGTAAGCGGCTACTACCATATTGTTCGAGGGAAAAATGACAGAATCTTATTAGTGGCAAGAGTTGGTTAAACGACACCCAAGGCCGAGAAATTCAGTGGATTGATGGAGGTGAGAGTTTCTCATTTGATACCAACAATTTTACAGTATAAGTATGACTTCGACAATGATTCTTTCGAGTTCGATACAAAACTTCAACTAAACAAACCCAAACGAGGACGGAAACCCGTCCCTGGCCAGGTTGATGTACAAACACTCAAAAATGTTTACAGCCACCCTTTACTTATCACCAAGGCTCTGTTTGCTGACCTGAAGTCTTTGTGTAAAAGTGAGGCCATCCCTTAATGTTATCACAGTTTTTATAGTTATTTAAATTATGCAGATCTCAATATTATACCTCAACAACAACAAAAAGATATAGATAAAAATTAAATTCAGTAATTTTTGTTTTAATTTTTGTTTCATATTATAATAATAAAAATTGATAATTTTTGCGTTTAATTTGTAGCCATTAAATAGTAAATTTATAATCAACTAGCGTGTGCCCGCGACTTCGTCCACATGGAATAGTGACTTTGGGTACCATTTGAGTGAATCCCAAGCAATGACGATACTTTCATACAACATTTCAACCCCTATTTCGACCCCTTACAACCCTTTTTTGCATTTAAAAGTAGTATATGTGCTTCCTCAGGCTCTGGGGTATCTGCGTACTGCACCAGGGACTTCCTTTCTAGGGTATACCTGGTTCCCCGGCTATTAGTACCCGACACGGCGTGCGGTTTTAGTCGGTTCGAGTCCGACATGCCACCGACAGGTGGTATCCGAGGGGATTTCCGCACGGAAAAAAAAAAAAAAAAAAAAAAAAGGGTATCTGGGTATCGGTACTAATTTAATGTAAATCGGTTCAGTACTTTTAGCGTCAAAGCTACACAGACAGACAGAGTTACTTTCGCATTTATAAAATTAGTAAGGATTGTATGTCTTGCCCAATTGAAAACTCGCTAGATTATAAGCTGACAATATTTAGGTTCAATTTACAGTGCTACAAATAACCCTGTAAAATTGATACAATATGCATCAAAACATAAATAGATAAATAATGTCAAATTTAAAGTAATACACATAAAAACTTTATTTATACATAGGTACCGAAATAGTTAATTTTGCTGCTTACCTTTCATAACACCTAAAAATGATCATCAAATAAGAATGTAATTTATGTTTACCGTAATATTAAAGTCAGTTATATCATCGAATACGATTGCAATGTCATTTTACGAATAGAAAGTATATTCATATTTACCATGGAACAAGATCATAATGAACGATTACTACAGCAACACCGATTTGTGATTTTAGTCGAACACTATCGTAAAGTTAGTTTGCGTTAATTTTTTCCATAGCTTATTTCAGTAATGGACATTTTCACAATTTTCTTACTGATAAAGAAAATTTATGATAAAAATTTAGTAAAAATCTAGTGCATAAAAATATTCCCTATTTTTGATAAAAGAATCTTCTTTTTAGTCTTGATAGAATTCAAGATATTCAGTTTTTATTTGCTCCTGTAAAATTGTAATTTTCCAATTACGATTTTGTTCGTCGGGGACTGCGGTATGCCCAAATTACAAAATATTCTAAATTAGGCTGGCTGATTGCCGGTTCTATACCTACTAATTTTAAAGCACCACAAATAAAAACATTTAAATGTATTACTTCGACTTACTAGTGATACTCTACAGGATATTCAAAGACAACTAAGGTTCTTTTGGAATCTAGAGCAAGTCCCCGATAGACCACTACATACTGAAGTAGAGAGGGCCTGGGAAAGAGAATATCTAGCTAATACATATCGATTACAATCCGGTAAATTTTGTGTCAGGTTACCTGTCATAGAGACACCGGATTGTCTTGGTGACTCCTATCAAATGGCCAGAAAGCGGTTCCTTACATTAGAGGAGCGATTTAAAAGGAACGCCCAGCTAAAAAATGATGGGTCGGCCTGTACCTCCTCCGGATTTTTGCTGAACGACATACTCATGATAGGCCCACAAATACAAGACTCTCTTTTCTCCATTTTAATCGGCACCCGTCATTATAAATACATTCTAAATGGTGATATTGAGAAGATGTACCGACAAGTTGAAGTAGACGAGCGCGACCGACGACGACGACGAACCGACGACCGACGAACTTGTTACTAATATTATGGAGAGAAGATGAGTCGAACCCTAGACAAACCTTGCAGTTAAATACTGTGACTTATGGCCTTGCAAGCTCAGCATATTTGAGCACAAGGTATTTGTGGCAATTGGGGGACGAGTGCAATGACGATCACATAGGTACTATAATTAAATACGATTTCTATGTCGATGACGTCATCACCGGTTCAGACAATGAGTTGCACTTGCTATATATACAAGACAAGCTATCTAGTACTTTGAAATGCGGTGGTTTCAATCTTCGTAAATTCAAATCTAATTTACCATCAATTTCAAAATCATCAGGCACTAATCAAAATAACACTATAAGTTTTAGCGACTCTACAAGCACCCTTGGTTTGGGATGAAATCGATACAAGGATACTCTAAATATTTCTATTAAAGTTCCCCAAGAAGACCAAGCAATTACAAAACGAACTATACTATCCACATCTTTTAAAATTCTCGACCTAGAGAGGGCTTTTAAGTCTATGCATTATTCAGCCTAAAATATTACTACAGTCTCTTTGGCTTGCTAAAACTGACTGGGACGAGCCAGTCGGTGACAAAGTACAAAAATCTTGGATTAACTTTGTTGGCAATTTACACTTTCTATAAAATTTACAAATTCCTAGGTTAGTCATTTCATTTCATTTATTCTTTATTGTACTATAGTAATGTGGAGTAGTATGTGTACTTACGGGTGAATATAAATAAAAGTCAATATCCACTTACTGTTATAATTTACACACACAACAACACGATATACTATTTAAAAGACAGAAGGAGTACAAACCAGAGACACACAATATACACAACGCGACACAGAATGGACTGTCCATACACACTTTATACTATTTAAATTTACTCAATTAAATCAAGATGGAATGTCAACAATAATCGAGCTCGCAGAAGGAGACGGCAGAGTTCCACGCACTCTCGCTCCGCACGATAGCCGCAATCAGGCTATCGAGCGAGAGAACTCCCACTCCGATGGCCGCCACGAGGTCTCGCCTCTGCTCAACCCACGCCGGGCACTCTGCCAGCGTGTGGAGAGCCGTGTCCACGGTCTGGCCATCGCAGTGGTGGCACTCAGGCGTTGGCTCCTTGCGGATCAGACACAGGTGATCCCCGAAACATCCTTTCCCAGTGATAACCTACGTCAGTCCTTATGAGAGGGTCCCGTGACGCATCTCGAGAACGCGTAGGCTGTAAGGGGGCCATGGACCAACTAACTTAACGTATGTACGTACTTACTATACGATCGTTCTGGAGCGACCCACATCACTCAACACTATAATGTAAAAAGTCATAAGTGCCGTGAATGTCTTGAGTAGTGTTAAGAAGTAATCAATAAAGGGCTTATTACACTATGCGGTATTCAGACAGTCTTACTAAGATTTAGCTAAATGTAATAAGAGCTAGCAAGTTAGCCTGTCTAATTAGACTGACCGAATGGGTTCGGCCGTGCTTACTCGCTTGCTTGCTGAATACCGCGTAGTGTAATAAGACTTAGCACGGTTAGACCGTTCAGTCAACGCGCGGCAGCCGCAGAGCAAAGACGGTCGTATACGTTTGTTTGCTGTGGCCGCACCATGGCGTGTTCGAAAGAAAAAGAAGTACTTTTCAATGTTCTTGATTTGTACCGAGACATGCCATATTTATGGCTGAAAAGTCATAAAGATTATTCCAATCAACCACTTCGTACTGAAGGATTCCGGGTGTTGTTGGAAATTTATAAAACCTTCGATGAAAAGGCTACAGTCAAAACAATAAAAAATAATTTGATGAACATGCGCACCAATTACAATAAAGAATTGGCTAAGGTATGTACCTACTTAATTCCTTTGTTATGTGTTTTATTCGTCCCAATAAAAACATAGGTACCTACCTACATATACGATAAAACTCACTTGTATAACGAACGCTGTGGGAACCTTAGCCTTAAATCGGGCATTTTGAATTGAACTGAGCCTAAATTGTTTCAAGCTTCGAAATGCATAATTGTGTTTTTTTACAGGTAAATGCTTCCAAACAAACTGGCGCAGGGACAGATAAAATGTATGTACCAACTTTATGGTATTACGACGCGTTAAACTTTCTTAGGTCAAGGAGTGAACCATGTCGCATAACACCAGAGAGCATCGAAGATGAAGAGGTAAATTGTATTCAATTCTTTATACCAACTGAAACAGCTGTTTCATAGAAATATTCAAAATTCAAGACCATTCACCCGATATGTATGGAACAGATGTTTTTTTTTTCGCGATTTCGAAGTTGGATAGTTAAAGTTGTTAGTAGGTACAGTACATTGACCCTTTTCAAGTTTTAGGGTATTATAAAACAGCCTGTATTTTATTTGTATACTATAGACGTGTGTGATAAAAGTATATTCTGCATGGGCCCAAAAATATATAATAAGATACCATCAGATTTGAAAAATGAAAATAACTTAATTTTATTTAAGAAAAAGTTACATGCTATTCTAGTTGGTAAAACTTATTTCCGCCGCCCCCTCGCGGCTGGCCAACTAATGCGGGTGGAGGGGAGAACCCATCCCGTCCACCCGCGGCCACACTCAGGGCGGCATGAGGCGCAGGTAGGCGCGCCTCCGCCGCCCGGTTCGCCGGCGGCGGATCAGGTCCGAGTGGAGGTCGTCCTCCCGGGCCTTCTCCACCGCCTCCTTCTGCGAGATTACCTCCTCGCAAAAGGTTGCGACCGCGGTAAAACAACTGTCGCTACCGGCCATGGAGCGAATTACGGCCGGCAGCGAGAGATCTGCTCCGATGACTGCAGTGAGGGCCCGGCACTGCGTCGCCCATGCGGGGCAAACCGCCAGCGTGTGCTAGGCCGAATCCTCACTGCAGTCGCAGTGGTGGCAGGCGGGACTCGATTCCCTCCTAGCCACCGAGTACAGATACCTTCCGAAGCAACCGTGCCCGGAAAGCACCTGCGTCAGCCGGAAGGAAAGGGTCCCGTGCTGCGGCGAAGCCAGCGCGTGGAGTCTCCAGCCGGAACCAGCATCTGACCATGGTGGTTCGGCGAGCGGCTTCGCGCCACTCGCGCACGTCTTCGGAAGTCAGCCACTCGCCGATAAACTTCGGCGAGCACCTCCGCCTCCAAATCCCACGGGGGTGTACCGGCCAAGGTGCAAGCCGTTTCGGTGGACACCGTGCGGTATCCGCGTATGGCTCTGACCGCCAATATCCTCTGGGGGCGCCAGAGGCGCGCCCTATTCGGGGCGGTCAGAGCCGCCACCCACACCGGTGCACCATACAGCGCCATGGACCGGACAACCCCCGCGTACAGCCGCCTCGTGGGAACACTGGCCCCGCCCAAATTGGGCAAAAGTCGCCCTAGGGCGGAGGCAGTGTCCACCAGCTTCGGACCAAGCTGTCGGAAGTGCTCGTCGAAGAGCCACCTACCGTCTAGGACCAGACCCAGATACCTCATCTGGGCCCGGACCGGTACGAGGACCGAGCCGACCTCGATTGAGGCGCCGGCGGGCGGACCACGACGGGGCCCATGAAATAATAGGGCCTCCGTCTTATCCAGGGCCACCCGTAATCCCAACGCCTCAATGCGCCCGACCACCTGGGAAACTCCCGTGGCGGCCAGGCGCGCCGCCTCCTGGAAGTTAGCCCCCCGGGCCGTGAGTAAGGTGTCATCCGCGTAGCAGATTACACCCAGCCCGGGGGGGAGACGCCCTCGTAGGGCCCAGTCGTACCCGATGTTCCACAGGAGAGGTCCTAGGACAGACCCATCTCGGTCCTCGTACATGACGGTTCGCTCCTCAAGATAGTCTGCCACCAGCCGCCTCAGGTACTCCGGCACTCCGTGGTAGCGGAGCGCTTCCCTGATGCAGCTGAATGGCAGACTATTGAAGGCGTTGGCGATGTCCAAGGACACCGCCAACACCACTCCGCCGCAGCTCACGGCCTCCTCGGTCACGGCCCTAAGGCGCATTACGGCATCGATCGTCGAACGCCCCTCTCGGAAACCGAATTGGGCGTCCGACAGATCGGGGCCAACCTCGCAAAGGTGCCGGACGATGCGGGCAGAGAGCACCCTCTCAAAAAGTTTGCCCGCCTCGTCCAGCAACACGATAGGCCTATAGGCCGCGACCGATTCGGCAGGCCGTCCCGGCTTCTGCAGCAGGACCAGCTTCCCGCATTTCCAGCGCTCAGGGAAGCGTCCGGACGCCAGGCTAGCGTCCAACACCCCCCTGAGGTGGTCCGACATGTAGTCGAGGGCTCGGGCCATCACTCGGGCTGGAACCCCGTCCGGCCCGGGGGCGGTGTTCTTGGATCGAATCCGTAGAACAGCCGCCCCCAACTCCGATTCCCTGACGGGCGGAACATCAACCTCGCTGCCCCCGTCGTCTCCGGCTGATGCAGCCATCGACGGGGGTGTGTGCTCCACCCGCTGCGGGAATAGGCCCTCGACCACTTCCTGCAGGAAGCTGGGCTGGAGAGTCTCCGTAAGGGGGGGGCCCGACGTGCGGAGCTTTTGACGCACCGCACGATAAGGGCGACCCCAGGGGTCACGCTCGAGACTCTCCAGCATCTCCTCTCTACACGCATCCTTGGCGCGGCAGATGGCCAGCCTCAGAGTTTTCCGAGCTTCTCGGTAATCCTCATGAAGCCGGTCCACCTCCTCACCGACCCCGCGGTGACGTCGCCGACTACGGGTGAGGGACCTCCGGGCACACAGGCCGCACGGAAGTCCGCCAACTCCTGGGACCACCAGTAGACCTCCTTCCTTGGAGGCCGACAACGACGAACGCGGGGCATGGCCGCATCGCAAATCTGCGTAATCTCATTGCAGAAGCGACCAGCCCCCATGTCGACCTCGTCGGTCGGGGCCTGCGGAGACAGCCAAGAGTAAATAATGGCCGCCTCGCTAGTAGGTCCCTGTCGAGCTTGGCGACAGCCCACCGCGGGAAGCGGGAAGGGCGCCGCGCCGCGTGACCCCTACTGGGGTCCTGGGACCGGGAGAGCTCGAATCGGATGTACAAATGATCCGAGAGCGTCTCGACCTCTTCCAGGACACACCAGTTCCTTACTCGTGCGGCGACTGCAGGGTTAGCGAACGAAAGGTCCACTATCGACCCCCCCTGCTGTCGCACGCACGTGTTGGTGGAGCCTCTGTTCAGCAAACAGAGGCCCACCGACGCCGCCCACTCCTCGACGGCTTCGCCCCTGGCGTCCGTCGCTGGGGAACCCTACGCAATGGACTTTGCGTTGAAGTCCCCCAGCACGAGGACGTGCCCAGACACTAGTCGCCGCATCGAGGCCTCCAAGTTGTTAAGGAAGACCTCGAAGTCGTTCAAACTCCGGTTGGGGGAGAAATATACACCATAAATGGTTATTCCCCCCAATCGGCGGCAACATATCCAGTACCCTTGTCTCTTAGCGACAAGGGCGGGGAATGAGAAGCCGTGGAGCCGACGACTGCCACGGAGCCGTCCCGGTCACCCATCCAGTTTGGACGGGGAGGGACAAAATAGGGCTCCGCGACTACGGCAACACCAATCGACCACTGTGCCATGGTTTGCAGGAAGAGATCCTGCGCCGCAGCACAGTGGTTCAGATTCGTCTGGACCAGGAGGTTGGAGACTTGATCCATTACTGGCTCGTCTCTACAACCTCCTCCATGGGCGTCGGCGTCGACGCAATATTGACGTCGGGGGTAGCCTGGGTCGGCAGGCTAGACCCCGGCGTTTGCCGAGAAGCGCGGGGAGGCTTGCAGCCCCCCTGCCCCATCATGTGATTGGCGGACTTTTTACCCGCCTCACACACCGGGCAGTGGGGGGACGGCAGAGCACTCTGCCGCCTTGTGCCCGGGTTGACCGCAGCGGAAGCATAATCCGCTGCAGTCAAAACAGCTCTCGCACTTGGTGTGAGTGTGTCCCGCGGCTAGGCACTTGAAGCACCTCATCGGCCTCGCGGCCAGAACCGTGATTCTGGCATTCACGAAGCCGACGAGAATGCTTCCGGCGTCGCCCAAAGCTTTGGCCGACGCCACGGGACAGCTCACCCACACCGCACCGAGGCCTCCCGGACCCGGACGGACGGTGCCGACTCTGATGGTGTCCGCGGTGCACCCAGTCTTCTCCATGACTGCATCGCGGACATCCTCCGACGTGATGGAGTCGTCCAGGCCCGAGATGCGCAGTTCTGCGCATTTGGTGGGCCTGGCGATCTTCACACCGTCCGTGGTGGCAAAAATCCCCCGCAGCTTCTCGGCGAATTTATCGGCCGTCGCCGCGCCTTCAGCCCCAGGGAACTCGAATACTCGAGCTCCCATCTGGGCGCGGCGCAGCCTCATCCCCGCCGCCCCGAACTCAGTGGCGAGACCGGGCCTGGCCCCCTTGAAGAGGGCCGCATACGAGAGCCCGCCACTGGCCGCCTCCGGCGACAGCGTCACTACTACAGCCGCGGTTTTGGGCGGCTGCAGCTTCCGCGGCCTCTTAGTAGAGGCCGCTGTCACCGGTGGTGAAGGCTGGGCTTGGACCGCTTTTTGGGCAGCCCTTCTAGCCCGCCTTCGGGACTTCTTTGAGCACCTCGCCTCCTGCCAATCCTCGTTGGAGGGGGCAGGTGCGGAGGGGCCCGGCAGGGATGTCGGAGTGGGGAGCGGAGGGAAAGCCACTCCGCTCCTCTTCGCCGCTTTACTCTTGGCCGGCACCTGGGCCGGCGCCTTGGCCGGTGCCTGGGCCGGCGCCTTGACTGGCGCCTGGGCCGGTGCCTTGGCCCCTCTCCTCGGCCCCTGGGGAGCCGGTGGTGGAGTCGGGGCCGACGCCGACGCCGCCTATGAGACGCGGCCTCCCACAACAGGGAGCGCAGTCGGTGGCAGCAGCCTTAGGCCGCTGCGACCACGCGAGCGGGGGGCGCACGACCGGCGCAGGGGGCAGTCTCGCCTCCAGACCGGCCAGACGGCCGTCCAGCATACGCCCAACTGCGTCAAGAATTGACCGCAGTTGGGCGTCAGGCACCCCTGAGGTCGCGGTAGGGACAGGCTGGGGCGTGGATGGGGCCCCCCGCTCGGGGAGGTTCGCCCGGAAGCGGGCGAACTGAGCGCTCAGCTCGTTCACCTGCTCCGTCAGCCTGTCATTGGCCATCTGTAGGCGAGACACGTCGCCTACTAGGCCCTCCACGACCTCCGACACAGCGGAGGAGGAGTACTTTAGGGCCCTCACAAAAGAGC